ACATACAGATTGTGCCCATATTCTTTTAAAAAGCAATTATTGAGGTTAATTAAATAATAATTTGGCATTCACCTTATAATTTAATCAACGAAAAAATAATAGTATCCAGGTGTTTTTAAGAGATATTACGGATAAGTCTTATACCGAATGCGTGACAAGCGTTACATAGCATACAAAACGGCGTGACAACACTGTTTTCGGCGTGTTTGCACGTCAAGCTAAAGCATGACGCTTCTCTGCCATCCAAGCCAAAATTACAGAAAAAAATCTACATTTTAAAGCTTTAAAATTCCAAGAAGACTATTGGGTTAGAAGTGAAGCTATTGTTGACTTTTTACTTTAATGAAGAATGGAATTTTTCAAATATTTAGTACGTAATAAGGTAGTTTGAAATAAAATTGAAATCGACCGAGTTTTTTCCTCATATTCGGAATGGCTAATAAATACAGCGGTTGTCGGATGCGCAACGAACTCGGCTTCGCCTCGTGCAATGTTCAGCGCGTGCGTGTATTTGGAAACAAAGCACACTCACATAGCAGTCTCTAACGCATAATCAAAACATGAGCATCATACTTTTTAGTCAACGTCAAATTTTTCATGTCTGGCGGGTCGTCCTGGTATCCCTGGACTCCACGGTACACCCGGTGCTCCTGGACGAGACGGACGAGATGGCAGACCAGGTACTCAAGGTAAACAAGGTCCTCGAGGGTTTCAAGGGACTCCAGGCAAGCAAGGACCTCCCGGAGCTCCTGGTACACCCGGTAACACTGGTCCTCAGGGTCTTTCAGCCTATTCGAACTGGAAAGAATGTTCGTGGACAAACATCCACGAAGGAAAAGACAATGGTCTGATCAGGGTATGTATGTAAATTTCATGAAAACATGCTCTTTTACCTAGTATTAGATTTAACAACCCTTCCTATGTTTTTCCTTTGTTTGCTGTGGCTTTCTTCACATTTAAGAATCCTTTATTAGATTCAAAGTCTTTTTGATTAATATTTGCGTTGGTGTTTATCTGACACAAAAGCAGTGTCCATCTCTTATACTTTGTACGTAAAGCCAGTATATTCCCAGATCATGAGCCAATGCCATTACTAGGAGCATACATACATACATACAACTTTATTTGTTTCAGCAGGTCTAAAAACTGGCAGCTATATAGCTGATGTGGACCTGCATGTCTAACTAACTATTTAAGGTGGCTGCCTACTTTTGAATGTTCGATTTGAGCCCACGATGTGCGCGCGCTCAAAAACCGCTGAAAAATCTACAAGATTTTATTGAAGAACCATACGCGTTTTGAGTTTCAACAGGGCAAAACCCTCAAATTTTGCACGAGACTCTCTATTTTTTAATAGCTCATTTGAAAAAAACTCCTAAAAATCTATGTTATATTAACATTTTAGAAAAGTTTAAATTAGTAACACATGAAAAAATAGATTTTTGTAGGGATTTTGGTTCGAGTTTATGAGATTTTTTTAAGAGCACCGAAACTACAAAATATGACAAATCAATGTATCTCTTTGTCTTTTTGTCGAAAATATCCATGTATTATTGTAGAATGATTGACTAGCCTTCATTCGTGCAATCATATAGTCGGCAAATAACTATTATCTTATGAATCTTAATTTTTTTCTAATCACTCCCGGTGGCGCAATTTGTACTCCAAAATCTCGTGCGTAGGCTTCCATTAAATGCTGATTATCTCGAAAACGAGCTTGGGACACCCTATTTTTCTTTAAAGATTTGGAGTCAGCATTAAATTTTAATTCGGAAAATTGAAGTTTAAAAAAAAGTTTAAATCAATTTCCAAAAGTAGGCAGTCACCTTAA